AACTGATGCCAGGGGCTTAAGTGGAGAGGAAATGTTTTGAGAATGATGAGGGCAATGAATGTACAAATGTGCTTTACACAATTGATATTTGTATGGATTGTGAAAAGAGTTGTATGAGCCCCTAATAAAACGATTAAAAAAAAGAAAAAGGCAAAAACACACGAGACTTGGAACTGAACTCAAATCTGAGATCTTCCACCTCGATGCTCCAAGCAAGATGTGCTGTTAACCAGAGCATCCGAAGCATGCAGAAACTGTTCAGAAGACAACATCATTTGAAGATGACTCAAGGAATATTGAGCTGACAATAAACAAGTCCAAAGGGCACGTCCCACTGAGAGAAGTGCTTGGATGATGTATAAAGTGATTTCACAGCCCAGGCATCAAGGTGGGGAGTGAGAGGAACAGCAGGGGCTGGAGAAGGATGGCTGTTCTGGAAGTAAGATTCAACAGGTGACCATTTATCCCAGCTCTTTACCCCCAGCCCAGGGACGGCCTTAACACTCCCCTTGCAGTTGTGGAAGCCCCTAAGTTTCAAGTCCCATCCACACCTCCTTTCTGAGGTTGGAGCCAAAGGAACCCGCTTCTGCCATGCCCCTGCCATTCACTGTGGAGCAAGTCACTTCATTCTAAGTCACTGTCCACAACAGGGCTCGACTGAAAGAATAACGCATCTCTCATCAATTGTGTGATTTTATTTTTGGAGTGGAATGGTTGTTGGGAGGGAAGGGGGGAAGAAAGGGGGGGAAAAAACCACTTCTAGAATATCTTCTATGCTTTGGATCAATGTTGTGCATGGCCCGATGAGTCATGACATAAAAGTGTGAACATGCCTGACACAGAAGTAGGGTTCACGATGCATATTCATTTAATGTGCATGATCATTTTCTCTGTGGACTTACCTCCACTTGTTTCAGATGGAGAAACAAGAGTCCAGAGAGAGGAGTCACTCAAATTCAGTCTATTTAAAGTTCACTCCCTTTTACAAATCACCAAGTGTCGGCCTAATCTCTTCATGGCGGCCTGCATCTCCTGGTTCCTCAGGGTGTAGATCATGGGGTTGAGCATGGGGGTCATGACCGTGTAGCTGATGGACACGGCCTTGTCCATGGGGAAGGGAGTGAAAGGCCGAGCGTAGATGTAGATGCAGGGAATAAAAATCATGGACACCACAATGATGTGGGTGGTGCAGGTGGAGGCTGCCTTCCTCCGTGCTTGCCCTGAGTGCGCCCTCAGCATCACCAGGATGACGGTGTAAGAAATCAGAAGGAGAATGAACCAAAGGAGGACCAGCATCCCACTGTTGGAAATCATAAGCAGCTCCAGGAGCGACGTGTCAGTGCAGGCTAGTCTCAGTACCTGAGGGACATCACAATAGAAGTTATCCAGCACGTTGGGGCCACAGAATGGGAGTGGGAGCATAAGAGCCAGTTGGACAATGGAATGAAGGAAACCTCCCAGCCAAGCAGCCACCACCAGTCCCACACAGAGCTGAGTGTTCATGATGGTGACATAATGAAGGGGGCGGGAGATGGCTATGTATCGGTCGTAGGCCATCACCGACAGGAAGAAGACAGTCCCACCTCCCAAGAGGTGGAAGAAGAAGATCTGAGCCATGCAGCCCTGGTAGGAGATGGTTCTGGGTTCATGAAAGAAGTCAGCCAGCATCTTTGGGGAGGTGACGGTGGAGTAGCAGAGGTCAATAACAGCCAGGTTTCGGAGCAGAAAATACATGGGTGTGTGGAGCCGGGAGTCAAACGTCACTGTGACCGTGATGAGGAGGTTTCCCACGACAGTGGTGATGTAGATAAACAGAAACACCAGAAACAGGAATTTCTGGAGCCCCTGTGCTGGTGAGAACCCTAGAAGGACGAACTCGGACACTCGGGTGAGGTTCTTTGGTGCCACGGGATTTGCCCATATGCCTAAAGAGAAACCAGGCAAAACAGAAGCCATTACAGCAATACTTTTCCCTTTAAGGGTCAGGCTTTAGCTAACTAATGTCGTTGATGAGAACTCTTCCAAGACGGAGCTGAGGAAAGCGTTCGTCTTCCTGGCTCCTGGTCTCTACCCATATCCTGCGTGGTGTGATAGGCATTTATGGATAAGTCTTTCCCCTTTGGAACTTTGGTCCTTGTCCACAGATTGCAAGTTGGATCCCCGCTGTGTGTGCGTATCTATCTGTGTGTGCCATCCATCGTCCTGTGAGTCGCAGCACGCTGCACATCTCGTTACATAAAGCAGTGAATGAATAACAGGCTCACGGGTGCCTGTATCTGTGGAACATCATCCGTCTAGATGCACGGATCTTGAGAGATTGGGAGAGACTCGTGGTTTCGATCAACGCATAGGTGCTTCCTTGCGGTGAAGGTTTGAGGGGCTGCGGATGGTTCACTGCGGAAAGAGGCGATAAGAAGAAATGTTCACGTGGAAATTTGGAAGGAAGAGTGAAGAAAAGCAGCAGGTGATCTTGGCTGTTGCAAAGCGGGGCTGGTCAGCGCGTCTCAATTTTCCAGTGTGCGCTCCTCTCAAATGTAAGGTGTTGCCATGAGGTCACCTACAGGGACAACGAAGCCACCCAGGGTAAATGCAGAATCCCCTCAGACTGCCCTGCTCTCTGACAAGAACGTACTGCAGATGTTCCATTACTCAGACACGTATATTCCTAGATGATCTCTGGAGAGCAACTCCGTGCCAGGGGAGGGTTCTGAGTCCGAGTGACAGAGGACAGCTAGAGCCGTCCCACGGGTTTCCAAAGCTGTGAATCTCTCGGAAAGCAGACCGCCACGGTTTTCTCCCATGGAACGACTGGCGGGTTCCCATCGCTGAGCTTTGCCCTAGCAGCCAAGCATATCAACCGCTGAGCCACTGGCGTCCCTTCTGATGACCTTTGAAAGGATGTAAACGATTTATCTATTGGGTTTGTAAAACATAGAAAATAGAAGATGGGGAGAACATGTTTCCTCCCTTTGTTCCATAAATGAAAGTTCTAGAAGACACCCACTTGAAAAATAAACTGAGTTCTTTGGTGCTAAAACCAATCCTATGGAGTTACACTTCTCCTGAATCATTTTTCTCTACAGTTCAGGGACATTTGCCCTGCGGCTTCACCTCGCAAAGCCAGGAGAAGAGGCACAGCTCTCTTCTCCCAGACGCCACATGATAGACGGAGGGATGGCCAGAACGACACTGCTGGTCTCTGTTTGTGTCTGAGAAACACATGTTAACGAGACACGGCCATTTCAGCGTTCTTCTCATGGACCACTCCGTGACATTGTTTGCATCCATCCTGCTGTGTGACCAGCAAAAATGTCATCACTTTTAACAGAAGCTCAGTGTTTTTTTCCCTTCCAAGGGAACCAAACTGAATGTATATCAAAAGTTCTGTCTCAACTTCCGTAGACAGAGATCAAGTGCAATTATCTCTTAAAGAATCTATAAGGGCTTACAGGCCTCAAACTATTGCCTGTTTACCTTGATACAAAGCTCACACTTCTCCTCGAATATCTGAGTGCAAAAGGATGCCCCATGAAGAGGCATTCTTTGCTCTGGGGCTGCACTGAGCCACCCGGACCCCCACCCCGGCATAGGACCATTTGAGAACCATCTCCGTGGGCAAAGGAGAACCCCTCCAGTCAGCCACAGGAAATGACGCGAGGAAGCAAGGGTGGAAGGGACCTGTCCTCACCCCCCAGAGCAGGAAGCCCGAGTCCAGGCAAGAAGGGGCAACTTCTGGGTGTTGTCACAGCAACCCTGACAGAGGGGGGTTACGTTTTCTCTCTGGCTTTACGTGCTTTTTCTACCACATGGTGGCCAGGTCTGATGGGCAGGCAGTACTTTAAGCAGCATGCTTTGGGCCCTCTGAAAAAGCCGTGGGTGCCTGACCCTTGACCCCTAAACCCAACTCTCCCACCTGGTCACTCATTCCTAAAATGCCCACCTCTGAGCTTTATTATTTTGTCTCATGACCCTTATCTCTATGAAGGTGGCAGCCACCTTACATCTCACATGCACACTGAAGGGGCTGCAGGTGGGAGAAAGGACCTCCTGGCTCAGCTGTGCCCTCAGAATGAAAAGGGACTAGGTGGGGCAAAACAGGCCAACAGTTGGAAGACGTGTGAGATGGGCTCATTAGGGTTTATTATAATACTCTCTGCTTTGAGGATCTACAACCATTTCCACAGTCAAAGGAAAGATTAACAGCTTCGGAACACTCCAGCTTTGTTATTTGCTATCTGTGCTGTTCGAATATTTTGATTTGAATGAATCATCCAGCCAGGCTGATGGGAGGGAATAATTTGAAAACAAAATGACATGTGAAGGAAGCTTATCCTCTAGAAGTAGTTTCACGGTATATACGATCTATCCCTGATATACCAGATAGGGAACTTTTGGAAAAGGAAAAGCATGCCATCACCACCATCACACCCGTTCCAGGTACCAAGTCACCCTCTTAGCTGCTGTTAGAAATTGGCCTCTGGAGTGTCAACAAACCTCCACCCTTGTCTGAGAGCCTCTTGCAACATAAGACAGGTGACAGCATCAAGACCTGAGGGGGGGAGCAAGCCCCCCGCGATGGAAGGAAATGCTGTCAAACGTAAACACGTTGACGATTCAAACTTCTCTTTGAAAAGTGTTCATGGCTTCTCATTACCTGTGGAAAAGTAATTCAGATATGCCTGGAATTGATCAACCATCCAATAAGTTAACATGAAGTAATAAGGGTCCATTCGCTTTTTTAAAGTCCCACATTGACAAAGATCTTTTGCACTTACAATACTGAGCATTATGAAGAGTTTGAGGAAATGACTATATCACTGGTGGTGTAAGTTTTTGGAAGATGATTTGAGAATATGTATCAAACCCATAGATAATTTATAGTCTCCATCCCAATAATTCCTCTCTAATGAATTTGTCTTCAGGAAACAATCAAATTATTTAAAAAGATGTGTTTCAGGATGCTCACCACAGTCTTGTTATAATATTAATAAATTGGAAACAACAAAAATAGTTTAATAAAACATGGTACCTCTATGTGATAAAACACTAAGTAACGAAGGTATGTCTCTTAAAACTTGTTTTAGTATATAGAATTTTATTTTACCATGAAGTGATTTTGTTTTAAATAGGGAATTTTCAAAACATTTTGTTAAAATATATTATAAAACTCAGAGGAAGAAGAGGAAAGGACTCTGCTAGCTACATGCTAGCAATGTTCATAGTGATTCATCTCTGCTTGATGGGCTCTTACTTTCATCTTTAAAATTTTTATATTTCCCATATTTTATATACGGACATAACTGAGGGAAATGCATCTGTCACAAAAGGACACATACGTTACAGTTCTATTTGTATGAAATATCTAGACTAGGCAAGAGTATACAGACCTAAGTTTATGTGTGGTTACCAGGGGCAGGTGGGAAGGAGGGAGAAAGGGGACTCATGGCTGAGGGGCCACGGGGTTTCTGTCCAAGGGTGATGAAGCTATGTGGGATTGGATAACGGTACTTACACCACACGGAGAGCACAAATAACGTCACTAAATGTGCATGTGAAGAATGTTGAAATAGCAATATGTTGTCACACACATATTTGCTACAAATCAATTTTTTTCATTTGAAAAAGTTCTTATAATAGAGACCAAAAAAATTAAGCAAGAGGTGACAAACATCCCGGTGCTGCTCAGCATGGTCTTGGTATAAGGAGAAGAGTTCAAGGGAGAGAGACCTAGATGGTGGGAGAGAAGCGGTTCCTGCTATGAACAAGAGAAGATGGAGATTTCCATGAGCATCACCTACCTCCAACATCCAACAGGAACGTAGGGCCTTAGGGCCTTTCATATTGAGGCCACGCTCCTGCCACTCCGTCCTTCTTCTGGTCTCTCTCAGAGTAAGACCACATATGGGATTGTCCTTCAGGGAAGGGACTTCCCTGAGGGGACGGAACTTAGACTTGATTCATGAAATAAAGCTGGGCCCAGGCTGCCAAGGAGCAATGGGAGTTATTAAAAGTATGTGAGCGATTGCATCAGATGAACATAATCATGGCGAGAATGTCTTGGGGCTAAACACTGTAGAGGCACTGAGAATAGGACCAAGATGCACAAGGCCAAGAGCTTACAAGGGAATGAATCTCCAGAGAGAGTTGTTGTTGTTGCTGTTGTTGTTAGGTGCTGTGGAGTTGGTTCTGTGTTTAGCAGAAGAAGGCTCTGCCCCGAGTCTTCCTCACAATCCTTGCTGTCGCTACAGCCATGTGTCAGTCCATCTCATTGAGGGTCTGCCCTCTTGCACTGACCCTCTACTCTGCCGAGCAGGATGTCCTTTCCCAGGGATCGGTGCCTCCTGATAACATCGGTGAGCAAAGAAGCAATGACATACATGACCTTGACCTCTCACCGCTTCCAGCTACCTACCCAAGGGGAAAGGAGAAATCAAAGTCCACATGAGCGTCACACAAAGCCGATTCCCATGAGGCTGAGGTCAGACATGCCCCACCCTCTAACCTCCCTACCAATGTTGACACCCACAGGCCCCTCCCACAGCTTTCCCTACTCTTCAGCTGGGTTCAGTAATTCATGTCAGTAGCCATCCGGGACTCACCGGCAGGACTCAGGATCCTTGGGTTTATTAAGGAAGTTATCAGGTTACACATGTACAGGATACAATTATTCAGGTGGGTCAGATTCTTAGCTGTGCCAGCAGGCAGGCTACTCTCTGTCTTTTGACCTCACAGCCACATGGCCCATTGGCCTATGCTGTGCTTGTGCAATATTAAAAATACCTCTTCGGGCTGCCGAAGAATGCCCAGAGAGCACACTGCTCAGCCATCAGCCTCAGCCTGAAGGCACTCGACTCTACCTCAGTGGATCAGCAAACGTAGTTCCTCCAGGTAAGAAGCCAGAGGCACCTCATTGCACAAGCCAGCCTCTTGCCTGAAGGCACTTAGCGTTTGCTCAC